AGCGAAAGCTGCATATTTAGTAACAGGATCACGCGTCTGTCAATGTTCCGCAGTCTATCAAAGAGTGGCTCAAACGAAAAGGTGCTGAAGCGATAGATTGGCATGTGTGTTCTCCTTACTGCAACCCTATAGAGAAGCCTTGATCGAGGAAATTACTAAAACTACCGGCAGTACAAAACCGCGGATGAACTGGAGGCAGCGGTAAAGGCTATTTGTGCCGTCATGGACGAAACAACTATGGCAAACGTGGTCCAGACTATGCCGGACATGATGTTTGAGCTAATTAGAAATTCTGGAGCCTCGATTAGTTTCTGGTCTCAATCATGTTTTTGTCTTTTTTGTTAAGTGTCCAGATACTTTTGAAACAAAGAAGAAAATTCAATTCAGGTCTTTCTTACTAAAGCAAGAGGATATTACCTGCTAATCTACACTGATACGTTATCGACTACGTGGAATCGTTTCAGGAGGGTTGCATAGCACCACTAGCCACTTGGCTTAATTTTTAACACACTAACACCCGTGCTGATTTCGGCGCATGTTACACCTGTGCACCGACCGTGTTGCGTGCGTGCATACTCGGTGATGCACAAATCTCATATAAGTGACCTTTTATGTTTGGGTTTTCGTTGCGAGATCCATAGAGCAGATCCGCTGGGAAGACGCTCGAACTTTCGGGATCATGAATCTTTTTTTCATTTTGTTTGTAAACACGTGTTCATAAGTTCAATAAGGGTTTACCTTTGTTCCGTATGTATTTTTGCGAGTTCTAGATTATACAGGAAGAGAGGGTAAATTCAAAGTTCAAAGTCTAAAGTGGATTTGCTTGCATTTCGATCGATGATTACTCATTCATTAGGTGCAATACTGCTGCTTTGAAACACCTACGCGTTGCGACGGTTTTGTAGCGTCACAAACCGTCGCTCGGTCATAGCTCTCTCAGAAGCGGGTAGCATGACAGGATCTTTACAGCAATAGACTCGTCTACCTGTGGCGAGTCTAACCATGTGCAACACTGCTAATTTGCTCAAACTGATAATAAGTTATTCCATTGAAACTATTGTCGATCCGTCTGACAGTCTTGCCTCTCCTCGTTTCCATTATCACTCCAACGGGGACCAGCTCTTAGCTACCGCCTCGATAAATTCGTAACGCCACACTTCGAGCCCTTCGCCACTTACGACTGGAAGTAAACGCCAAGGTGCTCGCCTCTTCGAAAAAATTCCCCGTGCGCGCACGTTTAAACACAATTTTTGGCTTTTTTGGCCGTGTGAGACAAGAGCGCTTCTGCGAGCAGGGTGAATATCGCTTGAGGATTCCTCAACAGCACGTCGAGGATTCTCTGTCAGACACGATCTCTCGCGCGAACATTCACACTCGTCATGGCGTGCCGTCTGTGCTCTCCGCGCATGTTCACTCTTGGCACTGCTCTCACATAGTAAAGAGCTATGGCCGAGGAAATCTTCGACCGTTATTCACCCTGTCTGCGAGCCTCGCCGCCTCACATCAATTTCATGGATTTTAGGCTGTAAATACGCAAGGCACGAATGCGACATATTGCTTTCGATGATATTCCATGTGTTAAACTGATCGGAAAGTACAATTGTAAAAGTTTGGTTAGAATGACGTGTTGTGGACATGAAAAGGCAAATTTTACTTACAATCGCTTAGTGGTTTCGAATTTATCTTGAATATGGTTGTTTCAGTGAAAAGCACATATCTTGCCATACAAATAGGGTTTTGTTTACCACTATTATTCTTTTTATCTGTATAATCACGTTAATGAAAAGAAAACGAGGGATGAAGTGAACAGGCATTTCAGTACATCTAGGAAACCTCTGCCCAACTATACAATTCGGCCGTTCTGAAAGCCATGTGGTACTTGGATATGTTTAGGTATGGCCTATAATATGAACACAGAAAACTTGAGAAGAAGTCGGGCGTGTGCGCAAAAAATAAATGTAATGGGTGCGGCAACTATAGTTGCTACAATGTCCGTTGCGGCGCGCAAAACGCGGCAAACCTAGTGCCGCACTGTCGTCATGGTGTTCAACAATCTAGCACTGAGACGACCTTCAGCTCAGCTACATATACATATACGAAATTCACTAACTCTTGGTTCCATCTGGAGGGACCGGGTCAAGTGTGAGATGGGTGGGCAAGGTCTCGCCAAGTACAAAACACATCAGCTAAGCGGGGCTCCACCCACAGTGGGCGTGGCGTGCGTCGGAATGAACCGTACTGACATCCAAGACTTCACGTTCATAACAAAGCAGCCTCGAAACTAAGGAGAAGGTAAGCATAGGCAAATCAGATGGGATCAGGAACCGACGCGACGCGTAGATGTTTCAAAAATTATGAGCAGTATTGTAGGCGTACTGGAATCTGACTGTTTTGACTTTTGTTCTAGCAATTGAGTTTGCCCTTCCGAAGCATCAAAATTTGTTAAAATTGATGATGTCGGCATGCCACATGTTCTACGGATTAACAAGAATAGCAGATGTCAATAGTAAAAAGAGCACCGAAAAGTTCATTGCGGAGCAAAATGCAGATGTGCATTCCCAGCGATGCACGTGGGCTGCAACGTGTTAACGTGAATTGTGAGGTGGTCCACATACTTGTGAAACGCACTATACTACCATATGCAAACATCCGCTTGCGTGCAATGATAAAGCATGCCGTAATCGCTTCAACGTCTTGCGTCGCAATTGGTGAGGTAGATTTAAATGGAAAGAAAAATGAATGATACTCCTAGACTGATTGTTGAAATATTGAAGGTTGAGTGAATTGTTATACAGTCACGGTTTGAACGCAGCGGCTATTGTGAGTTTTTTTGCTGGGTTTCCTTGAAAACAATAGTGGGTCGTTTGATGAAAAATTCTTTTGCTGGAGTTCGAGACACAATGAACTGAACCTCACTCGGAAGCTGTTTATGCATTCTAGGATTAGCCTGTTCGGTGAACAGGAACAGGTAGTAACGATAACGTGAGAACTTCAAACAGGTATTGCGTTGCTCGGAAGTTTCCGCCGATTCTGATGCTGAAGCTTGAAAAAAACTGTTCAGTCATTGTACCTATACTATACTATACTATACTACGAAGAGATTCATTATATTCGGATGTTGAGAGTGCTGGGGTTCTGTTTGCGGAGGGCTCCACGAAGGTTAACCATCATGTAGGGCCAGACGGTTGGAAAAGTGACAGTCAGTAGGCAATAGATCCTCTATGTATCATGTTTGCAGCACAGCTTCGTAACTCAGCTTGTTCAACTTGTGAAAAGTTGGAAGTGGGGCTGCGCAACTGAGAGGAGAAGAGATGGCAGCACCCTCTGAGAGAATTCTAGACTTTTCACCCTGACCTGTTCAGAAACATCGTGTCGGGTACGCCCCATACAGAAGCGACTTCTTCAATAGTAAAATGCAGATGGGTCGACCAAAACCCTCAGTGAACCTTTGACGGACTATCTCTCTATTCGACCCCCACCCTAACCTTTTTCGAAGCCTTCACTGACGTGAGGTATACATTTGGATCACGACTGGACAGCGCATTTTTTCTGGATTTGTGACAAGATACTAACCTGCTTCCGCAGTTTTCTGCCACATTTGAGTGGAAACAAAAACTCGTGCAAAAACAGCTTGTTGTATATTTCGTATTCGATAACTCGAAAAAGAGGATTTCTCCCTTTGTAACAAGTACCGCACATACAGATAGAGCAAGCGGCGCATTCTATACCAGTAGTTTCGTAAAATTGAAAACCGTTCGAAATTGAGCTACAGGCAAAGACATTCCGAACAACCCAATGCATATATGACAGTAAAGTAGAACCTAGTCAGATTCCAATCCTCATGCTACAGTCGCTTTTACGCTTTTACTGGTAAGGTATTGCTCTGGTCACTTTTCTTTTTTGTGGATGGTAGGGTTGCTGGGCGCTGTAACGTGTTAATTCGATTTTGAACACTTGAATTAAGAGCTTTTAATGATTTATTCATCTCGGAGTTTTTACCTCCCATAATATTAGGTTGGTCCATAAGTCCTGCAACAATTCACATTAGTGCTAGAGAATTGTGAAAGCTCCTAAAAATCCGTAACATTTCTGTTTACATAGCATCCACCTTTGCAATCTCAGTCAACCGGTCAGCTCGTTGTCTCGCTACTTGCTGTGGATATTACGCCGATTCTGCGAAAAACTACTCAAGCCCTTAATTTTTACGAGTACTGCTTGGAATGCTGCCTTGAGCCCGAATCAGCTCCATACACAATCTGACATCTTCACATTCAAGTGGACTTACTATGGATCTTTCGATGGGCCATCCATCACACCTCAGAGATGTGGAGGAGGTACGGTGTGCTAAAAATAAACAGGCGGCGATAGTCTAGCTCAAACGTTTTGGAAGTTCTGACTGCTGAAGTACAAATTCTTCCAAGTCGTGCCTTCCCGAATTTTTGGTGGAATACGAGAGGAGTTGAGCTTGGAAATCCCTACATGTAGATGTCCAGTCAACGCGGAAGTCGACCGTCACAGCTCGACTGCAACCCCTTTAATACTAAAGAAAAGCAACACAAAGTTCGCTTTTTTACGACACCGTTAAAAGACCTCGTGCTAAGAAAATGGAGAGGAAAATTTTGGGACTTTCGTACGGAGAGTTCTTCCATATCCTTCTTATAGACCTGACCTCTTGCCAGAAGATGCGGACCTGATCCCTTCTTCAGACCACCTACAAGAGAAGAAATCTCATCTTAATCATATTGATGTCAAAATCGATGTCTGATCTTTCTTCGATCAGATCTCACTGTATTTCTACAAGAAAGGCATTGAACAGCGTCTAGTGCGTTGGCAATAGCTTGTAGATATTGATGGTGTGTATCATGCTGGATGAGAGGAACAATAAGATAATTATAATATTAAAATCAAAATTTGGCCAGTTTGTTGTAAGACTTATGGACCAACCTAATGCAATTGCTTCTACCTTCTTAATGTCGTCTGAAATTCTGTGTAAGCCTTACCAGGTCAACTTGTTGCTCTAATCCTATAAACTGATACGTTCCGTCAGCATTTGGAGCATACACCATTCCCGCTCCAATAAGAGGACTAGCAGCGATAAAAGCCACAACGGACTGCAATGCCACGATAATCCACACGTTTCTCCGTCTCCATATCTGAAAAAGTGACAACTGCGAGTAATCTCGAATTCTAATTCTATAACACTTGGCTTCCGGATTCACTGCGCACCCACATTGCCCGTCAATAGGTCAAGCCACCCCAGCTATTTTTAGTTTCTGACTTGGTAAGACTTTCATGTGTATGAACACTTATGAATACCAAAAAGCGAAGAAGATTTTCCCTGCAGGCTGCAGTTCTAACTGCTTTAATCTCATTGATATCGTCTGTAACGGTGGCCTTAGGCCGGATGTTCTTCACCTGTGCTTGCAAACTAAAATCAAATATGGTCAAAACTGGATATTGACCATAACAAGTGCTGAGCAGCTTGTGAAACTTTCATGGGCGCCGTTGCAAGGATGCAGCTAGCAGGGACAGCTGGCCAAGAGGATAGTGCGACGGAATAGGGGCTGCACGATGGAAGTGGAGTGTTTGGTTCGAGTCCCTAGAGCATCGTTCTTTTGCATCTTAAACTGGCGCTTCATGATTATTTATAACCAACACTATCTCCATAATGAATGTATTCATGATCGGGGTCACAAATAAATTCATAGGATGAGCTTTTTCTTCGATAGTTGAAGGGAAAATGTTGTGGTACCGAAATGGTGCCAAATGGCGCTGGTGCGAGTAGCGAATGCGATATTCGTGGTCAGAGCAATGGTCCACTCTTATCCAAAGTTTGGGGAAAAACAGGATCTTGGCTTGGTTTCAAAAAATTTGACCTGCCCATACATAGGTACAACCCATCCTGTGACCCCAAACGACTTGTGGAAGGGCTAGGCGTGGGGAATGAGAAGGGGGTCCGTCCTAGAGTGTACCACGGAAACCGAGGTTCTACCCCACAAAGCAAGTTTCACACTATGCTGCATTCTTTTAACCGATCAGCTATCAGCAGTAGGCCCAGCCAGCGTGGCCGGGAACTCAACCTACCACTGTTTGACAAGGAGGAGAACCTAGCGACCTAGTTATTGTCTTCTAGGCTATCACCATGCTGGCTGTCTGTCATTGTCAATTACGAGACAGGATTTCCCATTCCATGGGAACGACGACGGTGGTCTACCCATGGCCCAACTTTTCGAACTTGGGTCGGGATCTTAATTTTCCCCGAAACTTTGGGTATAAGGGTCATTCGGCGTCCTGATTACAAATATGTAATTTTTCAGCGTAAGCGTCATCTGACGCCACGGGGCAGTACAACGGCGCCGATTTGGTGTCGCTACTTTCTCCACCAATTTTTTAGACAAAGTGTATAACGGTTGCTGGTAGTCCTGACTACAAAAAATGGCATAAGCTCTTTACGCTGACGCTGCTTTTTGCAAAATTTGAAACGCCAACATCCTCTTCTATTCGGGGACGATACCTCAAGGGCACTGGGTGGGTTCAAAATGAGGCCGAGAAAGTGGAGAAGAGCTCGAAGAAAGGCTTTGTGAAGTCCATGAAGGCGGTAGCTTTGCGATAAGAGGCCATGATAAGACTGGAGAGATAATGGGAATGAGGAGAGGCGAGACAGTCAGACGAGGATTGACAATAGTTTTCATGAATAACTTATTGTCATCTCAAGCATATTGGTAGGTATACACATGGTTAGACTTGCCACAGAGAGGCGAGCCTATTCGCTGTAAAGATCTTTCCTTTAACCCGCTTTCAAGAAGTTATTAATGGTCCCACATTACTTCTGGGATCGGTTCTTCTGCAACGGTTCGATAGGTTCCTGCAACAACACCTTTGAGGAGTAACAAACCGCTGTAGAACTTCGTACATATCTCGTTCATCCGTGGGCGGTTAGTTGTTCTAACACCTGTATTCGTCTTCGAGAGCATAGGGTATATGTTGCCTTAGACGGATATCCCTTTCTACAGCTTTCAGGCTAGCCTTCTTCAGCGGCTCTCGCGAGTTCATCTTTCTGTAGCCTTAATAATCGCACTTGATTCTTTCCCTTATCGCTTCACAAAAGTGTCGGTATCCTCATTTTGCACATTTATTCACTTTCCTATATACACCATAACTTGATAGTGTTAGCAATTGATGTTGGTCCTTTTCTCAAGAAAACTTCGTAGTTTAATCGAAATCAAACAACATCGTTCTTGCAAGGAAGGTCGTTCAGTACGTGGAGCCTGAACCGTTTTTTTGCGATGATATAGAGACAATGATGGAGTACAAAACAATGATTCATTTTTCCTAAACGGCCTTATGATACCAGAAAGGGGTTATGAAATTGAGGCGCGGTTCAAGTGCTCGCACTGACAACTTTTCGAAATTTGTAGGAGAATTAACCCGGGTGGGCGGGGCGTCCTCAAATGAGGCAGTGCTTAACAAAAAAATTGATAACTGTTAGGAGAAGGCCTACAGAGCAGAAAAAAATTGGTGCAGGGAAGCAATGTCTAATCCCGTCATATATGACGAGAGAGGAGGCATGCCCACAATGGGCGGAGCGCGCTCTGGAGTGTACGGCATTTTCTACAGTTCCTCAGAATTCGGGCAGAAGTCTTGGGTGCCAGAAAAAGGTGGGTAGAGATGGGTGGAGGAGTGGAGGTTAACTGCCGGCCTTGGGCGGGACATGATCAAAGTGGGCGGAGATTTTTTTGTCAACTGCTATCGTGGGCGGGGCGTATACCAACGTGGGCGAAATTTGTCCTTAACTTATAATTCAGATCCGACATGTCTAGGAGACCGGGAAAAAAGAGAGCTAATCCGCCAACGGGAGATTTTTGGGACTTCTTGGAATGGAAACTACGAAATTTCTGACGAACCCCGCCCACATTGGTGCAGGCCTCGCCCCCCCCCCTCAATGGCAATTGACTTCACCTTCACAGTCAGACTTGATCCACTTTTCCCGATCTCCAGAACTTCTTGGATCCGAGTTGTGACTTTTTGTGGATAGCGCCGCCCCCTTTGGTGCACGCTCCACCCACCAGTAGCAGCTGGCCCTTTTTCATTGACGGACTCACCTCTTTTTTTCTGGTCTCCAGGACTTCTTGGAACCGAGTTATGAATCTTTGTCGCAAACTCGGCCCAGTTTGATCATGCCCCGCTCACAGCCGACAGTTGACCTCCACTCCTCCACCCATCTCTATTCACCTTGTTCTGGCACCCCAAGACTTCTGCCCAAATTTGAGGAACTGTAGAAAATGCCGTACACTCCAGAGCGCGCTCCGCCCATTGTGGGCATGCCTCCTCTCTCGTCATATATGACGGGATTAGACATTGCTTCCCTGCACCAATTTTTTTCTGCTCTGTAGGCCTTCTCCTAACAGTTATCAATTTTTTTGTTAAGCACTGCCTCATTTGAGAACGCCCCGCCCACCCGGGTTAATTCTCCTTAGTTCGACTGACTTACCAATGCACATACCTACATTTTTTCTCCCAGTTTCGAGGCCTTTTTGGTATAGTTTCCGAAATCCTGGTCGTCAGCGCCACTCATTTCGATGCACGCCACGCCCATTGTAGGCGGGGCTTTGCCTAGCTGCTATCTGTTTTGTACTTCGCGAGACCTTTCCCACCCATCCCACACTTTACCCGGTCTCTCCAGGCCGATCCCCAGAAGTTAGGAAATTGTGACAGACATACAGAACGGCAGACGACAGACGACAGACAGAACGACAGCCGAAACGCTTTATAGTATGTAAGACCTTTTATCATTAATGGCTATATGCAGCTGACGGAGTGGCAAGAAGCGGCGTTTTCCACACGCACGGCCAGGTGATCGAGTAATTGACCACACGCCGCCCAGTCTAGCCAGCCCTCTATCACTGCTAATTCAGTAGATTAGCTCTGGAGTTGTCGAGGAGAAAAATTTGATGACTTGAATATCACTTGTTCGCCTCTTTCGAAGTGATAGTAGATCTTAAGCAGTGATCAATTAAGCAGTCAATTGAGAAAAATGCGAAGGGTAACGGGTCGACGAGGTGCACATGAATCGCACGTGGCCGCCAGGGGCTGGAAAGACGATCGCTAATGGGAAGAAAAAGGTGAAAAAACAAAATTTCGTGTGCTACCTGCGTTGTACACCATTCGATAATATTTTTCATGGGAAATCGATTGATGCACGTTTCAGGTTCTAAGGTCCTTCTAGACAAGCAAAAAAACTGATCATATCACAAGGACATGACGAGCAGTGATATTTAGGGTCACACCACGGAAGGAACGCTCGTCTGCGACTAAATATTTGACCTGATTCCTATAGAGAAGTAATCGTAGTTTACGACGGTGGAGAGATTTCCTCGCTATCTTCTCAGGTTTCCACAAAACATCTCCTCTAAAAGTGGGGAATGTCACATAATGGGCCTACCACTACTGCAATGCTAGATGAAGCTCTTTCGAAAAATGAAATATAGCATCTTGTAAATCCCGAGCAGAGCTATTAGCTGGTATAACATTTAACATTCATTAACGGTTTTTACCCTTCGCAAACCGTCGATTGAACAAAAATCGGTATCAGTCTTGTAGGCATAAGAACACTGTAATCGCTTTCTGTACACACTTACATGGGCGCAAGGTGGGAAATATACGTACATGACATCTGGTGCCGTAAGGTATTTCATCGAACAGGAGAGGAACCCCTCCCTGGTAATGTATGCTCTCCCCGAAAACTCGGAGAAAGAAAATAGCATCGGTTCTCGGGTATGTCTCCCAGACTGCATGTCAATTGCAAGGATATTTCGCCGTTTGCATATCAATCGGGGAGAATTCCCCGGTAAGTAGAGCCGTGGCCCTTTCCCCGAGAGTTTTCGTGGAGAGCATACCTTACCAAGGAGGATCCCTCTTCTATTCGGGGACGCATACCTCAAGGGCCCTGGTGGGTTCAAAATGAGGCCGAGAAAGTGGAGAAGAGCTCGAAGAAAGGCTTTGTGAAGTCATGAAGGCGGTAGCTTGCGATAAGAGCCATGATAAGACTGGAGAGATAATGGGAATGAGGAGAGGCGGGACAGTCAGACAGACAGTCAGACGAGGGCTTGACAATAGTTTTCTCAGGAATAACTTATTGTCATCTCAAGCATATTGGTAGGTATACACATGGTTAGACTCGTCACAGAGAGGCGAGCCTATTGCTGTAAAGATGCGAGATGATTGCTTTCCATTTTACCCGCTTCCAAGGAAATTATAATGATGCGACGGTTTGCGACGCTATAGAATCATCGCGACGCGTAGATGTTACAAAAGTTAGGAGCAGTATTGTACACCTACCCCGGAGTCCCTCCCTCCTCTAAGCTAGATTAGTCTTAGGCAATAAGTGTAAGTGAGAGAGCCCAGGAGAACATAAAATATGCACTGAACGGTGCAGACGCCAAAAGCGAATGTCGTGTTCGTGACCGGGATTTAAAATAACCGCAGTAGACAAGTTTACAGCGAATTTGGTGGAAACAGCCCTGGCGTCAATTGGCGCCAAATGACACCAACGCCAAATTGAATGTCATTTCCGTAATCAAAGCATGGAGTTACCTCTATGGGCAAAGTTTCGACGAAATTTTGATTTTTTGGGGCTGTAATAATTGAATGGTGCCCAAAATTGTTCTTAGTTTTAGGACACACGAAAAGGATAGTTGCTGTGACGATTCATGAAAGTTCCAGCCAAGTTTGAGAACTGAAAATTGGTAGTGGCATGAGAAATTGAAGGGTGTAGTCTCTAATCATATTTTGGAATGTTTCGTAGTACCTCTGAAAGTCATGTCTTGCTTTTCAATGCTTTTACCAACCTTGTCATATTTATCGGACAGACAGAAAGCCGAATAGCGATTGAGGGCAATAACCATATTCCCGATCATGTGTGCGAAGTACGTGACAGTACTAAGCACAGCAAAGAACGAGATAACGGGCCGGATCTCTGGACCCAATGCAAACGGGCGGATAAGTCGAAAGAAGATACTCATGTAAATAGCGAGTATGTCAGCGATTCCTGGGATAAAGTAACACATAGGGAGAAAGGAGAATGAATGAATCTATGTATAATACGTATTCTCATAGCACAATGAGCCACTCTACCTGTGGTTACGAACAATATGTAAAAGGCGTTGCAGAAAATCTTCCGTTTAGATGTAATAATGACAAATACGACGAATATGTAGGTTATTCCGAGCGCCACCTCCGCTATAGTCTGTGGGACGTTATCTATCATTTTATTTCTGTAAGAACACTCCAATCTCGTCTCATCATGTTCATGGAATTTACGAAATTTCGCAGGGGTAATATGTAGTACGGGAAAAACAATATAGCATCTAAGTCATTCCCTACATATTGACTTTGATAGTTTAGCATTTTTAGTGCTGTTAAAGAAACATATAAATACTGTGCTAAGCAAATTCCACTAAAAACATTGCAATAAGGTGTGCAACAGACGACCAACAGAAAGCCTCTTCTGTAGCACTTGGAAGCTTCACGAAAAATTACCTTTGAAGCTTTTCTGTCTCACCACGTCATTAGGAGGTAGTGTTTTCGGATGTTTTGAACTGTTGGAATTCTGTTTTGCAGTTTCTTTGTGCTGTAGACACCTGCTTTATAAAGAAATCAGATTCAATTCAAGTTTACCAAAAACACGGAATGCCTGTGAACACAGTCGCTGATTGCCAACTATAATACTGTAAATCAGATTTCGAGAAAGCCTACAGCAAGTGTAGCTCCATTCAGCTGAAGCAATCAGAACACCTTTGCGTCGAATTGGCAGCCATGAAATGTGCGTGCACAATTTTCAGAGTAATTTGACCCGATTGACACTAAATTCTAGCTGCACGAGTTGGACGCTATCAATTGCGATTCGTTGTATAGACGTTTTCGCGGTTCCTCGACGACTGTGAAAATTGATTGATCTTACTTTTTCCTTCAAATTCACATAGTCATGCATTTTAAAGTGCTAGTATCTGATAGTTACAGTATACCCTTATGCATTGCATCTACTAGTGATCACCATCTTCAAAAGTGGTCAGCTGGGAAGCTTCTGAAAAAGCGCTCATATAGTTAACGTGTCAAATTTGATTGCTAATTTGAACATCGATACCAATCTCTAGCTTGAATACTCCCAAAAATATTATGTTCATTTTTTTCACAAAAAGGTCGCTTTTTCTGTGTCTCCAAAAGATACAGCCACCTCATGTTTCTTCACTGCACTTTACTTTCGCTTGATGAAACTGCTTGGCCCTTATAGGTTTTCTTCATTCAAGCTATCACAGAATTAGCCGCCGTCGTAGTGGCGACTGAAGAGTTCGCGGAAGGCAGTCAGATTGCAAGAGATTTGAGCCGAAGCCAACGTAGAGACACTCTTTCTGCCATAAAAGGTGCGAAAATTCAGCAATTCTGCTGTTGTTGTGTATGTTTTACTTTCTGTCTGTTTTTTTTTCATTTTTTATGATCGTAGCTTTCTTTTTTCGATGAACTCCTCCAAAAACATGAGGAAATATGAAGACAGGAATCACCACACAAAGGATAAAAGAATAGGACATTTACCGTTGATCAATCTCGTTTCGGAATGCGCCACGGATTCTTATTCCATTTGTATGTTCGTAGTGGCTTTTGAATGCGATCTAGTCTCCAAATACAACGACTTGCGGAGGCAACGAAGGCTTGGTTAGCCCGGACGACGTACGACTCAAGACTCCATCCCAGGTCGCGCGAGTGGTGAGCAGCGGCACTTGCCATTACACTACTTCCGCCCTCAATCAAGACATAAGAGACCGAGAACTGATCTTGATCAAGTCTTCTTTCCTGCACCTTTCGGCATAAATGCCTTGATTTCAGCAACAATTACTTGTAGCAAAGAATGCCTTCTCCGTTTTCTGCTGGTATATACCTTGAGAGTTTATGAACGCATACCGAACAGTTATCAAGACACTTAGACAACATTCAGAAAAAGGCTCTTTTTAAGAAGGGTGTCATGCTCTTATATTCTTCTCTCGGAAAATTAATCTTGATCTAGAGGGAACGTTCATATCCCTCTTTTGGTTCCAACGCTGAATGATCCACAGGGAAATTGGTAACCATTATGTATGCCGACGAATATTTCGATACTGACCTAAGCGCCATTTATCTTTTCTAGAGATGAGGGTGAAATTGCGCAAAATTGTGAGCAGTGGAGAATATTGTCACCCGAAGTGTTCCACAGCACAGGAGGACCTATGTAAGTCTAAGTAAGGTTAAGTCTGCAGCTGCAGTACGTTGTGCTTCCACGCCGCAGCGGTGAGAGACAAACAACAAGCTGATAGGAAAGCTGTTTGAAAGCAAGGCATATACAGGAGGGCCTTTGTGAGTTCCCATTCAGCATTGTTAGCGCAGTATTGCGGGTCAGGAATCCTAATCGCGGCCTATTTTTTGTTGCAACCCAAGCTATTTATTACTCTGCTGTGAGTCTTCGTGATGTGCAGAGGTCTTACGTGAGTAAGACTGGTCATTCATGGCCTCCGCACATTCAGCAGCATGAAAGCACAGCCAGTTTCGGAAACCAGGGTGCAGCTCCAAATATCAGAAGAATTGTGGCCACTTTCTTCCTTATTATGTTTGTGAGTGAACTCATGCCTGATCTTTTCCGGCACAGACCTATCCAGTGTAAGCGTGCAGATCCTGTGATTGAAAAAACGAAATGACGAAAAACGGTGCAAATTTCAGGGGCGAAAGTAACTTTGCGCCATCTGATCTCTCAAGGCTACTGAGCAGGGTCGGTCCTTACTTTGCTAAACAAGGTAGCTACGGGGGGGGAGGGTTGCGTACCAGGTGTCAAGCGAGGCGTCGTAGATAAATCGGAAAATACGACGGCCCCCCCCCCCACTCGCGCCAGAGGGAAGTCGATGAAAGGACGCCTTCTCAAAGAGCGAACAATGGAAAGTTGTCATAATTCTTCCCTCAAAACTGTTCATTAAAACCCTGCTATTCACACCGTCACCGCAAATTCTTTTAAAACGCACAAAAGTGGAAAAGTCCAAAAAAATTTAATCATTACTGATGAGTCCTATCGAAACGAGCAAACGAAAAAAAAAAACAGCAGAACAAATCCTCATACTACTCACTAAAAATGCATACTTTTGACAACCCCATCTCTTCTTTAATTTATTTCTTCATCAACAAAACTTACCAAAATTTTAGTACTACACAGAGTACGGTATCAAATTGCACGTTAAACCCCTTACCAGTTGAAAGAAGCTTTTCACCGTCTTAGCCAGCGCGTGCTGACTGATCTTTGCGTTGGCCGGTGGGAACCGCTTATCTACTATTGAATTTGAACAAATATTCAAAATGATATAACTTTCTTCAAAATATGACGAAATTTCAATCTGAAAGCAGATTTGGAGTTAATGTAAAGAGCTCTTTCTAAGCAGTATTGAATCAGGCATACAAAAATTTAATAAAGAACTAACAAAGTTAGATCGATTAAGCGAGGAAAATCATGATGAGCAACGAAAGTTTTTCCAACCTTCCGAGGCCGTAACCTTTGCTCCCTTTTTGATCATGTCCCGGAAATTTAATATGTCAGACCAACTAAGACCCGACTTTCCTCTATCAAATGTTGTTACCAGCAGCTTATATGTTCCACAATTTAAAAAATGGCCACGTTGAGGATTTCTGCGAAATTACTCGAGGAAAATTTGCGATGAGTGCGATGTTTTTAACGGCTTTCAAGACGCATAACTACGTTCAAACCGCCATTCCATCTGAAAGTAAATACTCAGCGTAAACTAGAAAGAATTGCAAGCTATTCACGGTTACCAGGACTGCTAAAAAACGTCCAACGAACTAAAAAATGGCCGACGTTGAGGATTTTGCCCGAGTCCGCCGAAAAGCACTTTGTCGGCTGCATCAGCAACTACTCCAACGACTATATCTCTTTTCAGGGGCATTATGCACCTAAATGAAGCGAGATTCAGAATCCTCTTTCTTTTTCTCTTTCCAAAAAAAGTGTAAAATGTTTGGCGTGTCCTAAACTTTAACAATTAACATGCTTGTGAATTGACGCGAAGGACGACGTTCTTGCTCAATTAGTGTACTCCTACCATGTAAACTACACCCAAGATCGCTTTCAGAGGATCCTCTCAGTTTTTCTCTGAATTGACCGAGTTTTTCTCTCAAAAGCCGTGTTAAAGCGCGCCGCCACAATCGCGGACCCTCGCGCCGCCCGCTGTCAGCCTTCACATCCTTTGAGATATCGAGGAATCACCTGAAAGATTGAAATCTCCGTTGGAAAAACGTGCGAATTATTGATTTTTGACTTGCTTAAGTGATGTTAAAAGATAAAACTTTGAAGGCACGTGCAAAATCAACTACGCACGCACACCTCTGAAGTTTCCGAAAATTTTTATGGGCGGAAAGCAGCTGTAGTGGAAGTCCTCTGGCCTTCCAATGGCATCGATCTCGAATCCCTGATGTTTGTCCTCCGATCAGTGGTGCATCAATCCCGGCCGATCCCTTCTCCCAAGCGGCCAATACGACCCCCCCTAGAGACGTGTCGAGATTCCTCACGCACCCTTGACCCATGGTCGTACTTTATGAGTTTTTAGAGGGGGGGTCGTCATTTTGATGATGCTTGTAGAGGGGGGGGTCGTATATTTTGATGAGGTTGTAGAGGGGGGTCGTATTTGCTTCGATTGTAAGAAGTTGCATAAGAGGTGGGGAGGAGTGGCGCGGGAGAAAATTTTCCGTTTCAGCGCGGCGTATATTACCCCCCTTCAGAAAATGAAGCTGGGAATTAATGGCTTAAAGGTAAGGAGGGGGGTAAATTGGTGGAAATTTAGGGAATCTAGGTAATTTTGACGGCCTCAGAGTGACTAATACCCCCACGCGCGTCGACGGCATTTTTGGAGGCACAAGTGGCGGGGTTTGTTGGTCGAGTGATATCAGAATGAAGTACTATAGCGAGGAAATATGGTGGTCGAGGGTCGAGAAGGGGGGTCGTACCCAAATCCACCCTGGGGAGGGGGGTCGTAAGAATTTTTCGAAAGGTAGCAACGATAGGACCGACCCTGTACTAGGTAGTGCTACAGTACATCATGGAGAGTTGTAAATGGCAAGGAACAAAAATGAGGCTGATCTCCAGAGGCAGAGACTAAAGCGGTTTATGGGTGATGCTACCGAAGTCATGATGGACTTCCAGACGACAGGCAATGATTCTCAGTGTGGCGGTTAACACTACGAGTGCAGGGCATGCTCTACTATTGCTCATATACAGATGCGTTCAAAAGTATAGTGCACACCCTCAAGATTCACGTTTGAAAGGGAACCATGAGGTTTCGTGCTATGAAATCCTTCTCAATCGATTTGTCGGAGTCGATTACCTATCAATGGAAGCAAAGCAGATAATATCGCCTCACTTTAAATTTTGGATGAAATTTTTTTTCTTGTTTCAAAAGTATGTGGCACACTTGAAGAAGATCATTTTGGCGCCGAATTTTCCAACCGATTTCCATCCGACTTTGCTGTTTTCATTTCGTCATCAATTTCAATCTGCGCCATACTTCTTCTGAGGATGAGCAAGCTCAGATCAAGGTTCTGCATGATAATGAACGTTCCAATCTAGGAATCGCAAAAGCTAACTTGGTCGTTCTCCTTAATGCATGCGAATTTTATTGGCACCCTGATAATTATACTCAGCCACCCACTCTGCGCTCCATCCCAGATCCTTGACTGCTTAGAAAAAACAAGAGTAGCCCACATCCTTCGGAATTCTCATTGACAGTCCGAGCTCACATTTTTATTCCAGCCTCGAAAATGACCACTAAGGCCCCTCATCCGCTCAAATGAATACACCACTCGACAGACGCTGAGAAAGGCTACTCACTTCAATGCTCAGCACAATTAGCCAATGGGAGTCTGCTCGTCAGACATGGCCACATAGGATAGGACACCGGGTGAAGACACGGGTTT